CAATTTTCCTGTGGTCTTAAAATCATGGGATACATCCATCTTAGTTATCCTTTAAAACTCATGAGGACTATTACATCAGGAACTGAACTTATCAACAGAAAGCTACATTAATTCAGACTTTTAAATAGTGTAAGCTAAACCACCTCTAAGGCAAAGAATAACCTGCCAAGACTCAAGTAGACATGATAATCTTATTTTTAGTTGGACACCAAATACTGGCCTTGTATACTTATGCTCTCCTTACCTTTACTACTTAGCTAAGAGGCTAATTTTCTAATGATAGACAACCTTGGTTGTCAATTACTACCAGAACAATATTTCATAAAATACATAATTAACTTGAACGTAACACTGAATCGTTCTCCAGGCAATTGCAGGTTGCATTTTGTCAGGAATCATTCTGTAGGGTTCTTCAAGCTACAGGGGAAAACCCAAGTGTGGCTTGTTCTGCTTAGACAGGTCTGCCTGTAAAATGAAGATCTCAAAGTTTTTAGTAAAATCACTACTTTGCAGTTTTGAAAAATAATTTGTAGAGCTATTAAGTGCTTTCCTTTTAAACACAGACTAAGAATCATACATGCAGAACATGCAAAAAAATATAGACTTATTTCTTCCTGAAAATAGTCTTAAGGCTATCAAACCAGGAGCAACGGCACCCTGAAAGTCTTAAACACACTGAAGGTTGAAACACAAAAAAGGTTAGAGCTTTCTCCCCCAGGACAATTAGAGAAAGAAGCAGGCAATTAGGAGCTACAATGAATGTGTTCAACTTATTTTTATATCAAAATGGCTAATTATATTTGCATGGCTTTGTGTTAGCGCTACTCAAAAACTAAATTGTCTTGTCTAAGAAAATCTTAACAGAATCAAGAATGTAAACTTTGCCACACATTTTAAAACCAGAAACAAATAAAATTCAATTCCTAGTGAACCCTTGACAACCTCAGCCCTACTGCCAACCCCATAAGAAAACATTCACATCTATTAACTTGTTTACTAGACGTGAAATCTAGTTAAGTCCAATTGAGTTCTGAACAAGTACTACACAAAGGTTCAAGCATCTAGGGAGAAAAAGTTAACTAACCATTTAGGATTTTATTAAAATCTGACAGCTTAGCATATAAGGAAATCCTGTGGAAAAGCTTCCTATCACTGTTCTACTTCAAACAGTAGTGCTAGTATATTTCCTCCCTGAAAAGCTTTAAAATGAAATTATATGGTTTGGTAGATGTAAACACCTTTTTTCACTAATCACCATCACACCCCATTTCTGCAAACTACGACCAGCCATGCTAATATTATGGGACTTTGAGAACATTTAGTTCAAAGCAGTATTTGTCATTAAATAATCAAAACAAAACCATTTTAAGATTTTCTTCAATTCAAAAGGCTTAGGAACTCAAAACTAAAAGACAATTACATTTCCATAGTATAAATCATTGCATAATTCTTAGTATTTTCTCTCTCTGAAAAATTACCTTTTAATAATCAACTACAGAACTAAGAAACTCTTACCTTTCTATCCAGGCATCCATGATTAAACTTTCCATGTTAGACTTTACGTAATTGATTTTAAAAAGGTAAAATGTCTTCTAAATTTACCAATTGGTATAATAAACTATGGAAAACTTACTCCATATTACTAAGATAACAGCTTTCCTACAAAATTCAGCTTGGATCCAATTTTAACAATGGACCCTATAAAACCTGATTATTCTCAAGTTAACCCACATTTTTCTATACAGGTGAGACACAGACTAGACACAAGACACATGAAAGCAAAAATATTGGATAAAATATTGTGTAACTGCCATTGCTTAGGTTCCACTCCAGTGACAAAGTCACGGAAGCCTAGACCAACTATCATGGTTGCAAAAGTCTGGTTTATGAAGGGAGAAGGAATGTTAATAGTAGTACAGACTTAAAAACTAATTTCAGACTCCCACCCAACTACACTCTTGGCATTAGAGACGTGTACACATACATATACTTGTCACTCCATTTAGCACCAGTGTGTCTTATTTTCTTTTTAACTCCTATATTTTAAGTTCTAGAAAGCTAAGGACAGTTTAAGGATCAGAGAAGAGTTTATACAGCATACATTACTAAGCAAACTAGTACACAACCAGTAAACAGTTTTACACATTAAGAACACTAGTACCGATAAAACAGTATTTGTTTACTAGAAACAAAAGACAACATCCCCTCCCAAATGTAAGTTAACATGCTTAAAAACCACCAACCGAACCCCACAACTTTCTTTATACATTGCAATAAACAGCATACTTTCACCAAATTTAAATAATATACAACACAATTTATTAACTTTTAAGACATTGTGAATAGCAGCTCCAAAAAAGCAATTATCTTAATTTTACAAATTATCATAGTATTAAAATAAATTTTCTTTACAATTATAACACTTAATAAGTAAACAAACATAATTAGATGAAAAATATAGTAAAAACTTATAATCAAATCTGACATGCAACTTCAGAGGTGGAATATTTTAACACAAAATTATGACAAAACTTCATTTTAAAGAAAAAGTTGTATATATGAACTTCACACTGACAAAAAAATTAAAATTACAAAGCTTTTTTAATACTTTATATTTCTGGAACATTTTAAAGTGGAAGTCGAATCTTCAGTAATATTTAATTTTCAAAATCTTCTGGTCACAATCCCCACCAAACTCAACAGGCCGGGACAAGTGCAATACCATACAGAAACACAGCATTGCAACCGATCCCAACCTGTGTAGAAAGGGGTTTGATTTTCCCTTACTTTTCTACAGACTTTTCACTACCACAGTCAGTTTTGCATGGATTTGCACAGCAGAATATCACACAGCTGGATGCAAACCTGCAAAACTAACCATAGAACAGTGTTCAGTAACTGGATAGTTTGACTGGGCGACAGGCCGGAGCTGGAGTTCTACAGCTCGCAGTACTTTAAGTGCTCATAATGCAGTAGATAACTAAACACTACCTGCACTATAAGCACTTTAGTGCTACAGAAGCTGTCACATCACATACACCAGGCAGATTCTACATCGACACAATAAAAGTACACAAAATTAGTAAAAAAAAAAAATCACTTGAAGGAAATAGCAGGCCACCATCAGTTTTGCATAGATTTGCACAACTACATTCTTCTTGTAGTGCAACTATGCAAAACTAACAGAGGACTGCAAACAAAAAGTATTAAAACACCTATATACTTGCTTGGCTTGGATTATTGGATGAAAACATAACTTCTTATGCCAGAAGGAGCACTTAGGGCAGTAGATGCTAATCTACTTCACTATCTGCACTAGATGCACCTTAGAACAAAAAGCACTCAACACCAGCAGGCCCTGCACTTTCAAGCCCACCTTGGCTTCCCGAGGCAGCTGTCACCATAATGCTACAAGTGCCTTCACTGCAGTAGATGCACATATCACTACCTGCACTGTAAGCACTTTGACATTATTCTGACTGGTCACAATCTTCAGTCTTACAAGGTGATGGTCTCTTTATTCCTGCTAAATTTGAAATAAATAATTAGAAATAACACCTCCAACTCTTAAGAGCTATAAAACATACAAAATTCAGCATAGTCCCTAATGGGGAAGAGAAAATGAATTTAATTATCTCAAACCTGTAAGTTTCATTCACAAGCACACTTAGACCTTAAAAGTATTAGAAAAATCTTTTTCACAAGACAATCTTAACCATCAATCTAATACTGTCAGAGAAACTGATGGCTCTTCTTTTACCTGGAGGTTCCCAGACATACTAAAAAAAAAATTTTTTTTTCAATCAATCAAGATTAGACTGCATATGAATGAGAATTAATAGATGAACAGGGCAATTTGATTCATGTACCTTTTAGAGGGATTCTTCACATCCACGTGGCAAAACATTTTTCTTTTCTTCTGGCTTCCAATTAGCAAATACTTAGCAAATTGATTAACAAAATTACTGTTCAGACTACATTTCAAGTGTATTAGCTGGTTATAGAACTTAAACATCCTGTTTAAATTTCTTTGAATCTTGAAAACTGACTCCAGAACAGATCTATCACTCAACTTAAAGCAGTTTTAAAATTACATTTTGTAAACCGTGCATCAATTTCCAAAAACTTATATGGTATTTGCATTGTACTCTTACTAACTTAAAAATTAGTTGACCCACACTGAGTTAACTTTGTAGAAAAGGTAAATGGACAAAGTACAAGATACCTATTTCACTCTTTGAAAACCCAATCCCATCTATTTACTGAAATAAAAGATTAAAGTAAAAAAAAATTGTTTTAAAGAAAAGTTAACAAAAAAAAAAAATTAGAATACACTTACCCACTAGGGAAAACTTTCTTCTCAGCAAGTATCCTTAGAAAAGCTTTTGGTGCAGTTAGGTCCACGTGCTGACTGGGATGGGGGGTGGGGAAACAGGGAAAAAAGACAAACATATTTGCTGAAAATTATCACCCTCCAAACCTACATTTAAATTTAAACTTTCTTTTCTAACACCCTTATATCAATTAGTTACATCCATTTGCTAAACCAAGGATAACGTAGCCAAGCAACACTGGCAACGTTTAAAAGACCAACAATGTATATGGGTAAAATCGCGTTAAGAGAATAAAGTTGAAAACCCCACAGGTATTAGATTCACGTCTTATTTAAAAAGATCCTGAAATCCTCCAGTATAATCCCCAACAGTCGTTAACTGTACTGTACAGCTCCGAGGAGAGGGAAAAGCAGCAGCAAAGGGACTATTCTTTACCACCCCTCCCCCAATCAAGACCTCGTGGCTGCAAGCCGGGATAAAGAGTTGTTTCCCCAACTGATGTGGTCGGGATGGCATGTTGATAATTTTTTCTTTTGGTGGTAGAAGAACGAGCCTGCCTTCTCCAGTTTCCATCCCCTTTCCTCCGGCTTAGGAGTAGAAAAGGGAGCAGAAACACTCGAGACTGCAAAGTGCCCGCCTCGCTCATGGAGCCCGGGCCGGCAGCACATGTCGCACAAGGGGGTGCGCGGCCCTGCGGTTCCCCGAGCGGCCGCCAGGGGGCGGTGGGTCAGAGTCGGGCCCTGCCGGACGCGGCAACCCCCCCCCCTTCGTTTCCCGGCGGCAGCCGCGCGGCGACCGGCGGCGCCGAGGCCCGAGCACGGCGGGGACGCGGGCGCGCCGCCCCTCCTTTGTGTCCCCCCGGCCCCCCCCCCCAACCCGGCCCAGAGGGGCGGGGGCTCCGCGACTGCGGTGCCCGTCGCACGCGGCCCGAGGCCTAAGCCGGGAACAATCGGCGGCGGCGCGCAGTCGCCGCCATGTCCCCCGCCCTCACCCCCGCGCAGCCCGCCCCGCAGGAACATGGCGGCGCAGCCGCCGCTCCCGCCGAGCCGGGCCGGCCCTCCCGCGCCGCGCTCGCTGCCAGCGGGCGGGCGAAAGCGGCTCCACGCCGCCACCGAGGCCAGCCCGGGCCTGCTCCGCGGGCCACGGCCCGGGAAGTTGCGAGCCCCACCCGGGGACTGCCCACGCGGGTTAACAAAGCCCACGCGGAGTGGGGGTGGCGCCCAGGCCGCGCCGCGCCGAGCTCCCGCGCCCTCCGCCCACCCTCACGCGCACAAAGTTTGGGGGCCCGCGAGCTCCCGCCCACGCCACGCCGCCCGCCAGCGCGCAGGTACCTCGTGGGCGCGCCCCCTCCCGGCCCGCGGCCTGCCCCATGTGCCGCTGCCGCCGCCGCTTTGTTCTGGAGGCGCTTTAACTCTCGCCCCCGGGAGAAACTTTCCCTTCCCGGGGACCCCGCGCCCCGCGTGCACCCCGAGGCCTGGAGGGGGCGCGGGCCTCGCGCGTCCCCTCCCTGAGGGGCCATTGTGTGCGCCGCGCGCCCACCCGCCCGCCAGGGCCGGCCCAGGCAGGGTCCGCGCGGGTCCCGGGCGCGGCCGCCGCGCGCACGCCGCCCCCTCCCACCCTCCCTTCCCCGGCCCTGCCCTGCCCCTCCGCCAGCCCGCGAGCGAGGGGGCAGCGAGTCGCGGCTGCCACACGCCGGGGCGGCCAACGGCCCGAGACCCGCCCCGGCCCCCGGCCACGCCGCCGCCGCCACGCTGCCCCGGGCCATTCCGCCCCACCCGCCCGCCCTCCCTCCGGACTGGGGCCGCACACAACAGGTTTCACTCACTCGGCGGAGGGGCGGGCAGACTCACCAGGAGGAGTAGCCGCCACCATCTTCGCCTCGCCCGCCGCGGGCTCTCGCTCCCGCCTCCCCACCCGCCTCCGCTTTACTACGACCGGAGGCCCCAGGCCGGGGGTGCGGCCGGCCGGCCGGCCCGCCCCGCGAAGGGGCTTCGCGAGGAGCGCGAGCCGTGGCTACGCGGCGGGGGTCGTCCCCACCCCCTCGGCCTCGCCCGAGGGCGCGAAGTGGCGCGAAGGCGCAGGTCGGGCGGCGACGGCAGCACCTCGAAGGGCCATGTGGGTGAATGAAGGGCGGCGGCTCCCGCCTCAACGTAAATACGGACAAGCCCCACTCCCTCATTAGCATAAAAAACAAAGTACTTCCGACCTCCCCGCCCGCCCGCCAATCACCGCAGGCCCCGCCCACGGCGGCTCGGGCTAGGCGGCTGGGAGAGCGGGAGCTGGGAGCCGCTCGCAGCGCAGCGCTGCCTTTCCCCGGCCGCGCTTCCCCGCCGCCCGCCCACCGCCGCCCGCCTCACGGAGCGCCTCGCCCGGACACCTCGCGCCACGCCTCCGGCACGCCCTCCGTTAACAAGCTCTGCGCGCGTGCAGACCCCCGCGCGCCGCACACCCTCCTGGAAGCGCACCCTTCCTGCGGCTTCCTGAGAGCTCTGCTCTCGCTGGGACTCGACGTTTACGCGATGTGATTACTGTTTATTACTTTACTTGCCCACGATGGGTCTCGGTGATAATTAGGGGCCTGCTTCATGCCAACATGAACCAAAGATAAATAAAACCCAGTGACTTATTCTCACATTGAAACCGGATTACTCACTGCACACAGATCGTTTCAGAACAGATAGATGCTTTACACCCGAGACTTACATCGTTGAAATGTGTTTCCTTAACCCGGCCGTGTGTGAACCAAACGCATGCCCGAGCAGAGGTTTCGCAGCTGCAGTACCTGATCCTCCTCCCATACCCCGCTGCACTTCGTAAGAACACTTGGCTCTCCTGTACAAATAGTAGAGCTCGAAAAGAACCTCATAAACAACCACAAAGCTGAGCAAAGGAGCCCACTCAGGAGCACCTCCTTCTACATATTGTGGTTTAGGAAATTCCAGAATTCTCGGAAACATAATTGTCAAAAGAAGTGAGGGTTCATAACGCTTACTACAAGTACAGTAATTTTAAATTGGTTTTAAATAATCCAGTAAGTATTTAGTGGAAAGCACATACCACTGTTTCGTGATTTTACAAGTCAACTGTAAAAACCATATTACCAGAAGATGTCTATAATGTCCAAATGTTAAAACTTTCGGCATTCAAATCTTGATGATATTGCTAATATTTACTATCTTTGACTCATTTTGTCATGCTTTGCTTAAATTCAATCGTCAAACTAGAGATATAAAAAGTAAAGGATTAACTCTTCTTTTTGCTATTCTTTTATAAGAAGGACCTATTTTCTAGATATTTTTGCTTTACAAATCAAAATAGATGGCCGAATCTGAAATTTTATAATATTTACAATATTAGTCCTTTTATAGGAGTCATTTATGAGACTTTCAAAGGGGAAAATTGATTACTAATTTTCTTTAAAGTCTGTATTTAACATTACTTTTGACCAGCATTGACTGATATGTCAATTCCTTTTTCTTTAAAACTTCATCTTCTGCTTTAAATTAGAATGGCTGGGAGGAGAGGTGTTGTTGAGTGTTCATTACACTCTGAATCATGGGAAATCCCACCTATACACAGGTTTCTTAGCAGGAGAGAGTTATTTATCTCACAGTTTCTTTCCAGTTAAAGTCAACACTGCAATCCTGCTATTTTTAAAAAGCTGTTTTTAGACATCTAACAATATTTCTGTGGAAGGCTAACAGACAACTATTTTCTGTGATTATAGTTTGAGAGATTTAATTCTTAAGGTATACATTTTTACGGTAATCAGAATTTTGGAAGATGTAAATTCATTTAAACCAACTTCTTGGAAATCCCAGAAAGTTTCACAATTAGTAGATTGCATTTTATTTTTAAGGGGTTCACTCACACTTCCTTTCAAAATTAAGAAAGAAATTATGAATATAATTAGAATAATTGAAAACTTTTCAATACCAATGAATTTAAAGATTACCCAACTTAGTATTTTCTCTTTTTTAAGTCACTACTAACTAACTAGAAACTCATCCTTCTCAATTTCAGGGGCCACACCTAGGGCCACAGCTTGGTATACTCTATCACCAAAGTAAAAATTTTGTGGTTATGATTTTGAAGATCAGAAAAAATTTCTGAACCACTAACAAATGCCTTCAGCAACCAAGGAATGTAAAAACAAAGCTATCTGAAATGCCAAAGTAGGCACACAGCCTTCTCAAGTTAGCTAAAACACACTGTACAGTTTTACACAGTCCAGAACTTTTTAGATGAAGTGAAAAGCTCAATTCAACATGAGAACATTTGCATTAACTGTTTACATTATATATAACAAGTAGTAGAGAAATATTTGTGTTTTTCACCCAGATGCTTCAGTCTTATAGACACAGATGATATGATTTGAGAACATGTAAAAAGTTCTGATCTTATTAATAACATTCAGAATTTTATTCCCTATCTTTTACTATGTCAATATCAATTGACTTAGTCGTATTAAATTTTCAAAAAATAAGTTCAGTTTAAATATTCTTGTTTTGTAGCATAATTACAGGATTTTAAGAAACTAATGAATCAATAATCTCATTCACATTAGAGATGTGAAAATTTAAGAATGATGCAGAAATCTAAGACAAATACAACTATCTGTTATTTTAAATCTGTATCTCTGTATAATTTGAATATTAATTTGGAGATAGTCTATAAGTGGGCTCTTGCAATTAAGTATATTTCATATTTTGGCAATTTGGCATTTTAAATATAGATTCCTATAGTAATTTATTATTTCCTTACAGTATTTCAATTTTAAGGGAAAAGGAGATATATTTAAACATCACACTGACCTTGGAAAATTATTAGGTTATAAATCAAGAACATTTTGAACTCTTACAATGCAGCAAACAGTGATCAATGACACAAATTCAATGACGACATTTGGGATGTTTTACAATATATATTTGTAAATGTCTGAAAATGCATCGTCTAGTCTTATCATACTATGTTTTATATTTAGGACTTTAAAGACATTCAATCCAAGTTAACAATCATCTATTAAGTACCTGCTATTCTCTGGTACTGCTCAAGGTTTTAATAAGGAATAAGACAGAGCTCTTGCTTATGAAAAGTTCAAGAATTATAGCATATTACTGATTATCATGAATATTTCAAAAATAAGCAAAGGATTCAGGTCTTCAGGCTTTTATTTGTTCCTTCCAATGTCTAATAAAATAATCCCACTGATGTCAGGGTATTTTATTTTCTTAGTTAAGAATTTAGAACATCTGCACTTCATATATGTTTTGTTTTTTTGTTTTTTTTAAGATTTTATTTATTTGAGAGAGAGAGAATGAGAGATAGAGAGCACGAGAGAGAAGAGGGTCAGAGGGAGAAGCAGACTCCCCACCGAGCAGGGAGCCTGATGCGGGGACTTGATCCTGGGACTCCAGGATCATGACCTGAGCCAAAGGCAGTCGCCCAACCAATTGAGCCACCCAGGCGCCCTGCACTTCATATATGTTATTTGATAATCACATATAACATGAATATGTGGATTATTTGCTAAAAATGGCATTCCAAGGTGCTATTAATGACAATCAATTTATAGTGAACACAAAGACCATGATCATTGAACCTGATGGTTCCATCTATGGTTTTGAAATTAAGAAAATACAAATTATAGAGAGAAAGATGAATGTATGTGGTTTTGAATAAAGAAGCAATTTAAGGAAAGTTCTTTCTTTTGTATCCTTGAAAATTGTCACTGTGGTACTCTGTAGAACCACATGGGAATAACTGATTATTATTTAATTAAGAAAACTTGATATACTGGATCCTATTTGTCACAATAAAGAGATAGTCTCTACTCTTAAATAAATTTGGTATGCACTGACGTTTATCAATATATGTAAAATTGTATGGCTTTAGAAAACAAATTTAATATATTTTTAAAGGTTTTTTTTTTTTATTTATTCACTCGAGACACACAGATACAGAGAGAGAGAGAGAATATGAGCAGGGAGAGAAGCAGAGAGAGGGGGAGAAGCAGGCCCCCCACTGAGCAGGGAGCCCAATGCAGGGCTTGATCCCAGGACCCTGGGATCATGACCTGAGCCAAAGGCAGACACTTAACCATCTGTGCCACCCAGGTGCCCCAAATTTAATATATTTTTAATTAAACATTTAAAGATGATGTATCATAGTAAATTATGGTAAAGTATTTCACCATTTTTCACTTATTTCATTCTTTTGTACAACATCAAAATTAGAAGTATCTTATTTTTAAATTTCTTGTTTTTAACTTAATTCAGTAATTCTTTACCTGGCTGTACTTTACAATCACCCATAGAGCCTTTAAAACATACAAATGCTTGGCCCTTACTTGCAAATATTCTACTTTAATTGGTCAGACGTGAGACCTGAGCATTGATTTTTTTTAACAAAAATTCCCAGGTCAGGCTTATGCTAAGTCAGAACTGACAAGCTCTGGTACTTAGTTCTTGCATTAGGTAAAAGCGTTTGACTCATCAGTACCTTTAGCTGTTAATCTTGATAGGCGCTTGTGCACATGTCCATCCATATTACATATGTGCATTGCTAATTCACTCAGAGAAACTGTGAGAAACCCGCCAGGGTATTTCAAATCCTTCACCAAAGAGTTATGGGTATAAAAACTTAAAAAAAATGACAAAAACTTCAGAAATATTATGTTGAAAAAACTATGTACATTAACTGTAACAATCTTAGTTTATAAGGCACATTGGAAACTAGCGAGCTATTGCATATTTGCTCTCTGGGGTTGCAGTTTATTTTAAGAAATCTACTTAGCAATGAAAGATCATTCTGAATATGGATTGTGTTGTATTTGAAAAAATTCTCCATAGCGACATGTTTAGATGTAAGTTCAATTTTTTTTTTCAATCATTCATCTGTGAGAAAGGGATACACAAAGATCATCTGGATCATCTATAATATTTTGAAAATACTCAAAGACAGACAACAAACAGATCCCTGGTAGGAGTAATTACCAAATGCTAATGCTTTCAATCAATTTTATTTAATTTCCTAAAAGGTTCTTAGGGTTTTTTTTTTTCTTGCTTTCAAATATAGGCTTTAACCTCAGTTTATATCAGAGGAAACAGGTTGATTCAGCCAATCAT